GTGCAAGGTGAAAATAATTTCATGAATACAGTGAAAACATTAAACAACAAAAATAGCATAATATGCAAGATGGTAATTTTAAACTCCTTTTGTTGAGAAGCCATATTCTGCTCTGAGTTGGAGGTAAAAATTTATTCACCCCACTGTTTATTAATATGACATTTTTTGACTAACACTATTGACTTTTGCTCAGAGTGGGTGAGGACATTACTAAAATACTCATCCCTGTGCCACAGCAGAGGGACATTCAGTTTAAGACGCCAGGTGCTACAGCATCGAGCAGCTTCTTAGTTAATAGAGGTAGAGGTCGGGCAGCAGTCAACAGCACCTACTACAGGGAAGAAAAAGCTTGTGCAGAAATTTATTGATAAAGTCTCGGTATGTTAATCACTACATATCCAATGCCATACAAAGGATTTATTATTTAAATCCTCAAGGATTCACCGATGGCCCTCAGAAAATGAAATTAAGTTTATAGTTAATTCACTATGTTGTAGTTAATTAACTGGATACACACAATTTAATTTTCAATTATAAATAACAAAAACCTAATAAAAATTAAGAAGAAATAAGAATCATGCAATATAGATGCATTAAATTTCTAGCACGGCCTAAAAACTTGACTGACGCACTTATAAAAACAATGCTACCAGAAGAAAAATGAACCATATTTATTCAGCCCGACAGAAACAGACATCATTTTTGCTAGAGTTGAAGATGCAAGATAAATGTGAGGGCTTCAAACCAAGAATTTTTTACTTCCAACTAATAATGCATATCTTCAAATGTGTCAAACTGTCATAAAAAAAAAAATGAGGTAGGCAGACCCAGTTTGCGTCTACCCAGCCTCATTTCTCAGTGATATGTGCCTTCAGGTTTCCATTTCAGTGTCACACTCAACCCGTGCCTCAAGCTCTGAAAACACTCATCTCTGTTTATTGTAACCTGCAATCCTAAATATCAGTATTCGATAAACTGCTTTGCTTTAAGGTGCTTAAGAGCTGGTATTAACAGCTCTAGCTCTCATGCACTTGTATTTTGCAAGGCAAATTTTAACTACACATCAGAAGACCTGGATTTTGATTTTGATGTTTCCAACAGTGAGTTAGGTGGATTGGGAAGATGTTAAGAAAAAGGAAACATTGGTTCCCCTCAAATTATCCCAGATAGGTAGTACCAACTCAGACTACAAAGATGCTAGATCTGTTTCCCTGAGCTGTTACACTCACACACTGATTTTGAGGTCATTGAGAACAAACAGAGGCATTGCGGTGGAAGTGATTCAGATGCCAAAATCTTCAACAAATGATGCTTGGGGGATTGATAAAGGAGAAGAATTGTGAGGTGTAAAGGTATTATAACTGGGTGGCCTAAGCCTCAGGGCGTCAGAGTTTTCGCAAGACTTGTAGGACCATAGAGTGTCATCCAATGGAAGCAACACCAGAAATCTAGGAAGATATCAATCCCAGCTCCCACACCTGAAGTGGGTGGGAATGAGGCAGTGTCAACCTCCCCTGGAGACAACCAGGGAGACAGTATCAAGTCCAGGCTTGAATTAACATAATAAGATAAAGAGATTGAAAAGAGTCCTTAGGTCAGAAAGTCAGAATTTCTGAGTTTAGTTTTTAACTAAAAAGTTTTGGAGGTAGGGGCAGAATGAGCAGCTGAGTCAGGGAGAGAAAGCACAGGGGAGTATGAGAATGAGTGCTCAGGGAAGGAGACATGACCAAAAAGATTTACACCTAAGGTGATGAACGGGAAGGGAAGCAAGTGAAGTGGACTCAGGTCTCACAGAATCAGCTGTGGCCCAGAAAGTAGGCCTTCCAGTGGGGAACAGATAAGACCATGTCGTAATCTCTTGATTTGCCTGGCTTACATAGTGGCTGCAGCCAATAGAAAGGGCCAGCCTAGAGCTCCATTGTGTGGAGTGGCAACAAAGGGCAGGCCAACACAATCCCCATGGGATGGGCCACAGCAGCTCAGCATGGGCTTCTTAGGGTCAGTTGAAGGCGGGGAGGGGGATGGTGGGACTTACAGATACTCTTCCGTTCTGTACTATCTCAGGGCATGTGCAGGATTGAATCTGTAGGTAAAGCTGTTAATCATTCAGGTTTATGGGTATCAAGGAAGAGGGGGCTGGTATATAGTATCTGTGGCTCCAGAAGTGACCAGAGCCTCAGGTTCCTCTTTGAGTTTTTCATGGTGCATTCTCAGTGAATTTTGTTTGTACTCAACTTCCTAGGCTTAACAGAGGAAGAAACCAAAACCTGTATCCGGATTGAAACAAAGAAACGTGTTTTGGGTTTTAAGAAAAAAAAAGTGCAACACCGGTGCACTACTAACAAGCTATCAGAAAAACATGAAGGTAACACTGTTCTCTCTTAGCAGCTTATCCAGTGTGCCCTGAGACTGGCTGTCATGTAAGCACCATATTGCACATGACTGTGCTATTTTTAATTTTTCATTTATTTTATTTATCTGCCTCAGAGCCTTGTGTTGGGGGGGAGGTGGGGGTTGCAAATAAAATATCATTAGCAATGGTTAAGGTTCTCTTTGTCTTATACGTATGTTGTTCAATTTAATGAACAATTATTTATTGATTTTTTTTCCCACGGGCAAAACTCGGTATTAGATATTGTGAAGTAAATATAGGTGTGAACTAAGCCTTCCTATCAAGGGCCTTACAAAGTAAGAACACATATAAATAGCCATTAAAAATATAGACTGATAATGGTCTAAGAGAAGTTTATTTTTTAAAAGGCTATAAAAGTACCATGGGCAGAAGAAAATGGGTAGAGGGAAATCCCAAGAACAAAATACATCATGTTTCTTGAAGAGAATTGTTTTGGGTCTATGCACTGAAAACGGCAGAACACTTTGGCAAACAGAAAGAGAAAGAAAATCCGGGTAAAACTACTGAAGAAAGACGATAGAAGTCAGGTTTTGTAGAATGATCTCACTCCTTCCCAGAGTGTCAGCCACTCCACTGCCTATGGGCTTTTACTCTTACATCCTCATCCCCAACCCAGCCATCCCTTCTGAGCTTCAGACACCTACGTCCACTAAACATCCCTAGGCACCAACACTTCACATATTCTCTCCCTGCTGCCAGTGGTTACCATCACTGTCTACTCAACTGTAAAATCCAAACAGTTCACTAGTTTATAGCCTAATAGGACTATTGTGAAGATTTAGCAACATGATGTTTATAAGGGGCCTCACATAGTGACCAGCAATAATTGGTTCCTTTCGCCTTCCCTCTCCTTAGAAAGCAATCCCAGTCTTGATGAATGGCATTGCCGTCAACTAAGTCAGCCAAGCCAGAAACCTGACTGTCGGTTCTGCACTCTTTCTAGCCTCCACACCTAATAAGTAACCATGCATAATCCACTCTACCTCCTCAATACCCCTCCAAATTGTCTCCATGTCTTTATTTCTATGGGTATACCCTTCATTCATTATTTCCAGCCTGGATTATCACAAAAGCCTCCTAACTGGTCTTCTTGCTTCTAGTCTTGTCTTCCTCCAGTTTATTCCACACATTTCTGTGAGAGGAATTTTCTTCATGGCAAATCTTATTCACGAAACTTCCTACTTTGAATATGTCATGATTCTTCATGGTCTTAAGTATAAGTTCCTGCCTATCTCTGCATAGCTAAACTTTATGCAGCCTTCTAAACAAGTCATGCTCTGTCCTATGCCTTCCTATTATAAATAACTCCTTCCTCTTTGTAAAATTCTCTTATTCCCTTATTTTGCCTGACTGATTGCTACTCATTCTGCACAGAACAAAGGGAAACAAAAGCACAGAAACTCCCAAATTTGAAGCTTACATTCTCACAGGGAAGACAGAGAAGGAACAAATAAAAATATAATATTTACTATAATAACCAATAGACAATTTTAAATATAATATCAGAACATATAGATGGTCTACATATAGATGCCTGTATTAAGCATAAGCAAAATGAGAAGAACTGGCTTGACAATTGCACTTCAGTATTGTAGCAAAAAAAGAAAAAGGGGAAAAAGGAACATAGCATGCAAAATAAATAACCTAGTAATATAAATCAAAAAACAGATACAGATACTATACTAGTTTATCATGCAATAGAATAATTTACTAAGAATATGAATTTAATAAACCAACAGCTCACAGATAAAAAGATTAAATATAAAAATTAATTTAAAAGGAAGCTTTCACAGCTAAGGTATAAAAGCAAATATTGAGAAACATCACTATTATCATTATAAATAAATTAGACACTGCAAGGACAAAATATAATTATCTAAAAATAAAATTAATAACATTAATCACATATAAGAAAGATCTAAAGTAATAACAACAAATACAAAGACAAATTCAGATATTATTAAAGAAAATCTAATGGAAATGGAAGGAAAAACATAATTTAATACATAGGAATCAGTGCCCTTGAATTAGAGATTCCAACAAATAAAATGGAAAAACTGTATTTTGAAAAGACACTATATAAGAATATGTCCCTGAAATAAAGCAAGAAATTTTTCTTGATTATATATGTCAGAAATATTACTCAAATATGCAACTTCAAGACAAATTCTGGTGAATTTATTAAATCCAAAAATTTTTTTAAATGAACTTTACAAGTATCATGGCTGAAAAAACAATCCTACCCCAAAACAGCAACAATAACAAAAATCAGGCTGGCCTCAGATTTCTCCATAACAAAATTCAATAGAACAAGACAATAAAGGAATGTCCACAAATTTCTGAGAGAGGAAACAAATGTGTTCATATGTAAAGGTGACAGGAAGACATTCTCAAAACATAAGAGAATTCTGAAAATACGCATTCTTAAGCATTTACTGACAAAAACTACTCAACTGTAAAATCCAAGCAGCAAAGAGATGAATAAAAAAAAATACAACAGTTGGAATAATGTAGGTGCTGAAAGTTAAGATATTTTCTATTTCTCCAAAATGAAATGTAATATCTCTCAAATTGCTATTTCCTCTAAGTGGTGAAAGATATAAGATATAAAGTTGCCAATGTAATGTAATCCAGTCATTCTGGGTTTCAATTTTTAGTCAAACTCAGAATTCCCTCACCCTTCTCCTTCATTGCTTCTTAGGGACAATCTGTGTGTGTGTGTGTGTGTGTGTGTGTGTGTGCACTCGTGTGTGTTGCAAGCACATGTATGCCTATGCATACATGGTAGGGAAGAGTGGTCAGGTAGTATTCTAGCATCAGAGGAAGAATGAGACCTTTGTTAGCATTTTGTCCTTTGCCTTTGCTGGCCTCAGCCAAGAAATCATTTCCCTGCTTTGGTTCTCATTGTTATGCACTGGCAGCCACTGCCAATATCCATGGACCTGACTTGTCTTTGGTTATGAGGCCCATACCCTTTGAATCTTTCTCATACCAACCAACACCACGTCCTTTTGTGTCTACAACCCTCTCTCAAGACTTCCTTGCCTTCTTCAGGGTTTAAGGAACTCCTGCCTGTTTTCTGCACATCATAGTGAAGTATGAGGGTCTTTAAGGATACCCAAAGGACCACTTGCTTGGATGCCATGTTGGATATAAAATATTCTCTACAAGGTTTGCAATTTCCATCTTACTACTTGAGAAGAGTTAGATAAAATGCATATGAGAGGAATTCAAAAAGTTTATGGAAAATGAAATTAAAAGAAAAAAATATAAACTTTATTTCTCAACATAACCTCCATCAATTTTAAGACATTTTTGTAAGTGATGATACCAGCCATTTAGTTAATCCCTAAAGAACTGAGGGTTTCTTGGAATTTAACCATGTCAATGCAGTCTTTTTTACACTATGAACTGAAGAACAACGGGTACCATTTAAAGATTTTTTAAGATTAGAAAACAAAAAGAAGTCAGAAGGAGCCAAATCAGGACTGTAAGGTAAATGAATAATGATTTCCTATCAAAACTCTCACAAAATTGTCTTTGTTTGATGAGAGGAATAAGCAGGACATTGTTGTAGTGAAGAAGGATTATCTGGTGAAGATTTCCCCAGTGTTTTTCTGCAAATCTTTAGGTAACTTTCTCAAAACACTCTCATAATAAGTAGATGTTACTATTTTGGGGCTCTCCAGAAAGTCAACATGCAAAATGACTTGAGCATCCCAAAAAAACTGTTGCTATGACCTTTGCTCTTGTCTGGTCTGCTTTTGCTTTGGCTGGACCACTTCCACCTCTTGGTAGCCATTGTTTTGATTGTGGTTTGTCTTCAGGATCATACTGGTAAGTCATGTTTCATCTCCTTTTATAATTCTTTGAAAAAATGCTTCAGGATCTTGATCCCACTTGTTTAAAATTTCCATGGAAAGCTCTGCTTTTGTTTGCTGTTGATCTGAGCACAACAATTTTGGCACCTATCAAGTGGAAAGTTTGCTCGACTTTAATTTTTCAGTCAGAATTGTGTTAGCTGGAGCAGTCGAGATGTCTGTGGTGTTGGCTATTGTTTCTGATGTTAATCATCAGTCTTCTTCAGTTAGGGCTGAAACAAGATTAATTTTTTTTTCCTTGCAAATTGATGTGGATGGTCTACTGCTGGAGGCTTCCTCTTCAACATTGTCTCACTCCCATCTTAAAATGAGTTATCTATTTGTAAACTACTGATTTCTTTGGAGCATTGTCCTCTAAAACTCTTTGTAAAGCATCAATGATTTCACCATTCTTCCACTCCAGCTTCACCATAAATTTGATGTTTATTCTTGCTTCAATTTTAGCAGAATTCACGTTGTCCTGATAGGGCTCTTTTCAAAGTGATGCCTTATCCTTCTTAGTGTCTGAAACTAGATCCTGTTCAGACATGTTATAACAAGTTAGTAAGAAGTTATTTAGGTGCAAAAAAATTTTGAAATCCATGCATGATCTTTTTCATAATACGCATTTTCCATGAACTTTTTGCAGACCCTTCGTATGAGTTTATATCGAATTTCTCTTATACCACCATTTCTCCTAAACACTCTGCCCAAAGTGGTAGAACCCTAGGTCTGAAATAAGGAATCCACCCAGTCTAAATCTTAGTTGACACATGTCATATATCTTATATCCCCCCTTCTCCTAACTGTTCAAAATCTTTTCTCCTTTTGGGAAGAAAAATGGCTCTTATGTTATTATACATTCTTTATCATTCTATGATTGATGTTATAAATTCTATATTCTGAATCATCATAGTAGGTTTGGCTTTCGATATTTAAATTCAAGCATTAAGAACTCAAGAATCTTTATTCCCTCTCAAGAGCCTGGCCCTTGTCATTGGAAACCATAGCCTTCAAAGCTTTGATTTCTGCTAGACTTACAAAAATATACTTCGGAGTTCAAAAGACAAAGTTTGACTCTTTTTCTCTAAGTTTTCTCTACCCTGAGGCTGTACATATAGAAAGCCTGTGATGCAATTTCAATTATGAGAGAAATGGCAAAGATAAAGGAAGTTTAAAAACACAAAAATTAATATCAAGATATTAATTCAATAGATAAATAGAACTCCGGAATGAAGAAACAGTTGGTGAGGCAATGAGAATTGTATTCATTTAATATATAAAACTAAGACCGAACAAGGGAAATGATGGCTGAGTTTTTCTGTGTGGTTTAAGTGTTTAATATGCTAAGATGTAATTATTTTAAAGAAACAAATCTTGACATTATAATTTTTACCAGATAGCCCAGGAAACCTTTCCTGATTACCACCTCTATCATTATTCATAATTAGGGTTAGGTGACCTCCTATTTATTCTCATTGCAACCTGCATTCACAGTATCATAGCACTCATTATATTGTATTATGTTTACCCTCTATTTCCTCCACTATAAGCAAATCTAGGACATGGTCTTTATGTCCTCAGTATTTACCAACACAGCTAGTGCATTATAAATCTTTAATACATGTCTTTCAATGAACACATGAGTGTGATGCACACCTCCGAGGGAATGGACACACTTGAAGCTCGGACTTGGGGGGAAGGGAGGGTAAGAGCATCATACGTAACCTAATCATCTGTACCCCCATAACATGCTGAAATAAAAAAAAGAAAGAAAGAAAGAAAGAATACTGCGTATGTACCTGACAGAAATATGCACAAATACACAGAAAAAGTAATGTATGAGAAAGTTCAAAGCAGTATTATTTATTAACTGGATACCAGTCAAATGTCTGCCAAGAGTAAAATGGATAAATTGTGATATGAATTAACTACTGCTACACACAACATAGATGAATCTCACAAACATAAGGCTGAGTGGGAAAAAACAGGCACAAGAGTACATATTTTATGATTTTATATATAAAGTTCAAAAATAGGCAAAGCTAATTCATAGCAATAATAATAAAATTGGTGTTTGTATTTTGGGATGGGATAATGACTGGATGAAGGCATGAAGGAGGCTTTTGGGTGCTGCTAGTGTTCTATTTCTTGATGTGGACAGGGATTACATGGGCGTTCACTTTTTAAAATTTAATTGAGCTGTATACTTATGATTTGTATACTTTGCGTGAATATTATACTTCAGTACAAATGTTAACTAAAAATGTGAGACAATACTAGACTGAATGAGGGCTACTTAGAAAACCAAGTTGATATAGAGGAATTAGGATAAGGAAATGCCAAATATGGACCCATAGTTTTCAGCCTGTAGGAATGGGAGGACATTTCAAAGTCAGAGACTGTTGAAATAGTCTCCAGACTGCTTTTCAATCACCCATTGCTACCCAGTTGACACGACACTGCTAATATTCCTGAATCATGTCATCTCCCCACCTCAAAACCTTACATGGTTTCTAGAGAATGCAGTTCTTTCTAAACCTAAAGAATAAAGTCCAATTTCCTTGGCTTTACCTCCAGATCCTCTCTATTCTGCTGCTCTTCCCCATCTGAACCTTCAGCTTCACCTCTAACTGATGCCCTGTGCACTGTCCCCAGAGCATGGCACATATTCCCCGGACTCCACGTCCTTGCCTGTGATGCTCCCGCAGCTTGGAAGGCCATCGTCTTCTCAATAAGTCTTGTCTTTGCTTTCAGGGCCATGTCAGTCTTCCTTTCAGAGTACCACCCTCCCTAACTGCCGAAGATCTCAGAATTCTTTCACTGTCCTACTCAGAAATCATTCGTTGTTTTTACCACTGAGTAAGAGTTAGCAAAAACTGGTTGTCTTTTTGGTCTTTTTGTTTCTTTCCTTTTCTTACCATTTCCTCCTTCCTCCTTCTCTCTCTCTCTCTTCCTTCTTTTTTTTTCTTCCTTTCTGTCTTCCTCCCTTCCTTTCTTCCTTCCTTCCCTTTTTGTTGTCCTTCCCTATTTATTTCTCCATAGTCTTGCTAGCATATTTATGTACCTATTTGGTCTTCTAATTGAGAGTCCAAGTTTTTCAAATACAAATACCATATTTTACTTTTCTCTCAGTCTTTAGTACCTAGCACATAGCAGATTCTCAACAAAGTTTTTTTATGGCAATTTGCCTAAAATAAAAGACATATTGAAGAGTAAAACATACACAGGAATGTAGATTTGCCTATTTCTAACCCTGAGCTAATTCAGTTAAATTGCTAGACCTTGAACTTGTCAAATCTGTAGTGATATCATTAACATTTTTTTGAGGATATATCCCTAATTTATGTACACTTACTGACAAATGGTATACATACAGTATTCTAAAAATATGTTAGGTACAAAAATATATGAAAATGTAGAAAATAGAAAATTTCAAAACAAAATAGCCTATATGAAAGAAATAGAATTTTTCATTGTCTTCCTCACAGTGGTGGCTGCATACACTTAGGAGAAAGCTCATTGTTGATGATAAATCCGTATTTCATAAAAGCTCCTTGCAAGTTTTGTTGACATGTTTTTGGTCAGCTTTGGTGTTAATCTCTTGTTGTGGCTTATGAGACTATTATGAAAGAAGTAGAAATATTCATTCTATCTTCTTATTGGCATCATGTTCCATCTGCATTTTTCTTTCTGGAGTCTTTTTAAGCCATTTATTCACTTGTAAGAGTTAGTTCTGTTCAAACTAGCTAATGAAATAGTAAATAAATTTAACTATAACTCTTTCTTTAGGATCCTATGCTTACCATAGATAACCCTTGCCAGTGTCAATCTGTTTGTGAAATACATGGTATCATCTAAATAGAAATAACGTGACAGAGCCAGTGTCAATCAGTATATGACACGTTGACAAACACTAATTTCTCTCCCACTTTTATATGAAAAATAAACAATGAAGTTTTCTTCTTATACCCTCTGTTTTTTCCTGTGCACTTCAGTTTGAAAACAACCATGCTACTTTCTTCATAGGGAGAGTATTTCACCCATTCTTCTAATCATTCTAGACTATCTTACTGTGGAATTTCTGAACAATAGGGCCATGGCTAATCCTTCTGATACTCCAAAATAGACACCAAATCAATGCCACTAACTAGTAGCCATATCACTAGCCTTCTTTTCATTTAACTTTCTCACTGTAATTTCCTGCTATTCAGTTTCTACCCATATTAGTTGAAGTTACCATTAGTTAGTGAGAATTGTTTTGAAAATTCACGTAGAAGATCTGTGCTATATAGTTTAACATTAAATGCCTTTGCCTCTGAAGAAACATTGTGCCAACTCCTAACCTGAGGTTTAATTTTTTTCTCAGTTGTGCTTTTTGCCCCTGTCTTTAAGTTTAAAAGCAGTCTATCATTTTGTTTTTTCCCTATAATTGGAATTTTCCAGTATATCAGTCGATTGAATGTCAGAAGCCATGTGATTTTTGTTATTTAAAGGCCCAAGACATATACTATTAATAATATAAATCAAAAGCTGAGTGCTTGGTATCAAAGCGTAGGGAGCAGAGTAGTCAAGACTGGGCATATTTGCGTCCCAGTGCTGCCTCATGGTAACCATGCGTTCCAGGACAAATTACTTTCAACTTCAATGTCCATGTTTATAATAATACCTACTTCTCAAGGTTGTCATGGGAATTATATAAGATAATGTATGTGTGTAAAGTATCTGGCATATGCTAGACGCTTAATAAATAATAATACCATGGAGTGTCTCTTGCTTTTTCATTTAGCTTACTTAACAGAGCTACATACTGTACCATCTATTTCTCCCTCCTGTGCAAATAGGGTGTTTTTTTAATATGAATTTGCACTAAAATCAAGTAGGTAATTTTTTTAAATACCTTTCAGGTTCATTTTTGCAGGGAGCAGAGAAAGCCATATCCCTGGTTCGAGGTGGAAGGAGTGAGTATGCAGCAGCTTTGGCATGGGAGAAAGGAAATTCTGGTCCAGAGGAGAAGGTATTTTCTGAGTGGTTAGAATCAGTGAAGGAAAATCCTGCTGTGATTGACTTTGAGGTAAGATTAAAAAGTATTCCAGTGAAAGAGTTAAAGTAGTTTTCTAGCAGCCCAAATTGCACATTACATAATTTCTTTTTCATTTGCTTCTCAGACGATAAAGGAAATGTCTTTCTTTAGTATTCATTGCACAATGTACCTTTTTCTAAATGTTAAATCGCACATCTATTGCTTTTGCTATTCAAACAAGCATTCTATAGTACAGTATTTAGAATTGCTAGCACGCACAAAATACCAGGGAAGGGAATTTAGTGAATAAAACTGCTCAATTTGCCTTGAGTAGTACTCTTCATCTTCCTATGTATATAATAAATCTGGATTCTGTGTTTTTCTCGCAACTCTTTGATGAGCACTCTTAAATCTTCATGTGTAGCTCTGTGGAATAAATGGGATTTAAGACCTATTTGACCTCCTTTTTCTATCACCATTGATTCAATTTACCAGTTTTATATTTGTCATAATTACATAAAAAGATGATTTTTATTATTTATGGAATGCTTTGCCCACATATCAGTCATATGCCTTTTAGAACCAGTTTTGCCTAAAACACAACCACATTTTTAAAAGGGCCTCTGAAAAAGCTATTATATTCATTTCATTTCAATGAAGATAAAGGGGTTCAATCCTTATAAAAATGGAATTGTTTACATGCAGCATGAAGATATATTGAGCTCTACAGGTTATGGTAGAAAAATGAGACCCAGCTGCCCTCTAGGCACTAGTGAGTCACATATTGCACTTGATGGTCATTTCTTTGAGGTTTCACAATGTTAATGAAATGAGCCCTGATTTATCATTAGCTCCATTATTTGCCGCTGTAATTCTTCCATTCATTCTACCAGCAAGTTAATTTCTCTATTTTCTCCCACTCCATCTTTTCTCCTCTGACTCCACCGAAAGCCAAAAATGTCCCTGGAAAAATAAAGAACGTGGAAAACCTCTCTTCAGCCTCTCTAGATTTTTCTCCTTGAATCAAACTTAGTGAGTTTTCAGCAGAGCATTAATGAGCTGCCTAATTTTGGTCACCTATCTCAGTACTTTGATGTATGCATCTGATGCTTAATAATCCAAGTAAGAGACACTTCACATGTGGCATCTTCCACAGAATTTCAGGGAAGGTAAGTTCTAGATATATCAAACCTGCCCTCAGGTAGAGGGCTTTTCTCTATGAGTTCAACAGGCAGCTACACTATATTCTACAATAGTCCCTTTGAGTTGTGGAATGTTCCAGGCCTTGCCTCTCATTCCATGAAAATTGGGCAGTGATGGCAACTTATTGCCAACGGGAATGTAACTGGACCTCCTATCATCTGCTCTTAGCTTGCTCCCATCGTGGACTTGGTGAGAAACATCCCCTGTGCAGTGACAAAGCGGAACAACCTTAGGAAAGCTTTTCGGGAATATGCAGCCAAGTTTGACCCTTGCCAGTGTGCCCCGTGCCCTAATAACGGCCGTCCCACACTCTCAGGGACCGAATGTCTGTGTGTGTGCCAGAGTGGCACCTATGGCGAGAACTGTGAGAGACGGTCTCCAGATTATAAATCCGGTAAGTATCAGTAATCTGTTGTGAGGTAGACACCTTTTCTCTTCCAAAGTATATTTTAAATTGGTCAATTAAAACAAAACTTCTATTAGCAACTTCAACCTAGTGCAAACTCACAAGGAAAATAACCAGCAAAATGTATGCGTCTCAGCTGTAACCTACCAGCTATGTGACCTTGGGAAAGTTGTCTAGCTTCCCTATGCCTCCTTCTGTTCATCCACAAAATGGGAATCTACCCAGTACAATGCCTGTAATATAAAAATCAATAAAATAAAACATACTATAAAACAAAATATATGATTCTGTTATTAATATTATAAGCCTCCTATGTATTGTAATGTGGAATGAGGATGGCTTTGTGATAAAGGATAAATTAAGTCACAACCAAAGTTTTCACACAGGACTAAGGAGTGTTCATGGTTTCCTCAAATCCTCTTTAGAAAGAGGATGAGGCTTGGGAATGAGAATAAATTCCACTTACCTTAAAAAACACTATTTGATATATATTCTATTCAGAAGATGTTCACATTTACACACACATGTGCATGTACTTACACACAAATGTTTGTGACAGTTGAAAATGATCCGTAATGGTTGCCATCTTATTTAGGCTATTAGAATATGAAAGGGAAATCGGGCAATGTATCAGGCCCCTTCCAAAGTAATTTCTTTTACTCCTCACAATAATCCTATAATATTCCACAGAGGAGGTCACACAGCTAAAAATTGAGAAAACCAGGTTGGAGTGGCTTTAAAGCCCAAATTCTCTCAGCTGCACCATGACCCATGGGTGGGTATCCCTCCGTTTCAGATGCAGTAGATGGAAACTGGGGGTGCTGGTCTTCCTGGAGCACGTGTGATGCTACGTATAAGAGATCGAGAACCAGAGAATGCAATAACCCTGCCCCCCAACATGGAGGGAAACCCTGTAACGGGGAGAAGCGGCAAGAGGAAGACTGCACATTTTCAATCATGGAAAACAAGTAAGTCTGGGTAGGAAGGAAGAATGGTCGCTACCCCACTAACATAGACTGTTCACATAGCTATTATCGTACTGCTAAGTAAAGAAATAACTAGAATTTTACTTGTGCCAACACATCATATTAGTGAGGCATTGGATCTGCTGCTTTGCCTTTCTCTGTACATAATATTTTCTATTTCATACATATATGTATGTAATGTTTATATGCACACATATATGCATACACATGTAAATATGTGTATGAACATATATACGCATGCGCACACATATTTATTTTTCCCTTTTAGTGGACAACCATGTGTCAGTGATGACGAAGAAATAAAAGAGGTCGATCTTCCTGAGATAGAGTCAGATTCAGGGTGTCTTCAGCCAGTTCCTCCGGAAAATGGATTTATCTGGGTAAGCATCCTGACCATCACTTTGGGTTTGGAGTTCAAAAAAAAGAAAAACTTGAAGAGTATGAATTTTCTTTTAATTAGAGTTACTGTTTTCCTATTTTAATAATCTCCTGTTGACTTAAAAAGTACAAGATAGTATTTAGAGATGCTTTTCCACTCTTCTATCTTGAATTCCCTGGAGATGATTCCATTCCTGATTGTTAGACCAAAGGATAGCAGGTGGATTGTGTTCTTTGGTACTACTTAATTCACATGATTAAGATACATTTTTATAAAGAGAGAGTAGAACTTCTGCATAATATAGGTTTGGATGACTTGTAAGAATCTTCACCTAAGATCTGGCTGTTTATTTGTGATTCTGAGCAAACTCATGCCCTAAGGCACATCATCAGAGAGGCAAACTAGACTTGGCTATAATCATAGGAGGTGTTCGGTCTGTATTGTCTTATGAGGTTAGAAACCTGCAGAATTTTTAAGCAGTCAAAGCAATTTTAATGTGCCTGTTCGTTTTATCTTTTTATCATTAGCCACAATATTTAAAAAAAAAAAAAAAGATAAACCCTTTTTGTCAGACAGATCTGTCACTTTAGATATAAATTTTCCAGGAGATACATATTTAAAATTGATTACAGAAATCATGCTCCCTATTTCATTTTACCTTTATTAAACTCAACAGTATCTTTAAATTATTTTTTCATATTTATGATCAAAGATCAATAATACTCAGTCTCCAAGGCCAGCAAATAAATATTTCTGGAGCATAGTTTGGGCTAACACTTCCATGTTCGCTTCTTTTCTGCCCGTGTATTTGGTGTCGTGCCTAAAGGTTTAAGGGGAGGAAATATGTTAAAAGGAGGTAATTTTAGTCTTTGCTCTAGAACTAAGATTCTCAAACTCAACAATGCACTGGGAGGCTTGTTAAAACATAGATCGCTGAGTCCCACTCCCAGAGTTTCTGATTTGCTAGATCTTGGGCGGGGCCCAGAAATGTCCTTATCTAACAAGTCCTTGAGTAATACTGATGTTGCTGGTTCAGAAGCCGCACTTTGGGAACTTTTGGGAATTCTTTAGAACAAGGGTCAGATAACTATGTCCCAAAGGTCAAATTCAAACTGCCATTTAAAAAAAAAAGAATAAATAAAGTTTTATTGGAACTTAGCCACATTTGTTTATATTAATATATTGTCTATGGCAGAGGTGAGTAATTGCAATGGACACGGTATGGCCCACATCTGACAATCCAGATGCTTCATATCAAAAGCTTGCTGATCCCTTCCCTAGAACATTATCCTCAAAATAACAATTGTCAGATCTAGAGACTGAAATAACTTTTAATCTATTTATGCCAGCTGCATACAAAAACCATTAAAATTGACATTCTCATTTTAAAAACACACAAAGACTTTAAGCAGTAATTCATTATTCTTCTATCTCCTTTCATAAAGTTAGATTATATGTTTCTATTTTCATGGATAAGTTCACTCCTTGTTTTAATTTTCTCTTATTAAAGACCTGATCTCTGTCTGCCAATAGCTTTTACTCAAAAGTAACATAATTCTAACTTTTCCCAAGCCTCTTCTGGAATTTCTAGTAGCAAAATACCTCTTGTACAGATTCAAAGAGAGGCAGATATGCCTAATTCCAGGCTAAAGCAATGATGTCATTGCACAGGAGGATATTTGTCCAATGACCAGAAACAAATCCAACCCCTGTAAAGAACAGTGATTTTTGGCAAGGTTTCTTTGTTGGGTCAGTCTGGCAGATGTGTTGGTCTAAGCTTGATGATTGCAACATATGCTTACAGGTTATACCTGCATAAGAGAAATAGAAACAAACATTTAAGGCAATAATTTATTTCCAGAGGAATGCAAGAAAAAATGTGCAGCCTTTAAATAAAACATCTAAATCATTAGTACTATTAATCAGTCCATTTCCCTTGGAAACAAAGCCATACCAGTAAATAATCAAAAGTACAATTGTATTTTTGTGTTCAGGAAATTAAGATTCTTCCGGGAGACAAATTTAATCATGTGGCCAAGTAATTAATTACAAAAGTTCACAACTGAGCTTTCACCTTCTTCAAAGTTCCCGACTTCAATCCTCAAAGAATATCCTCCTACTCAATTCTTGGTGGGTGTTCTTCTCCCTCTCACTAAAAAGACAAACAAACAAACAAAATTGTGTTGTGTTATCATCTCCTTAAGAACGATAGTGTTTTTCATACTTTCAGCAAAGAGTGGTTAAGGCCTGTGTAAAGATTTATGAGACAGAGATCTTGTTGCGGAGTTGCCACTCAAGTGTCTGGGTGGGGCGGATAAATGTGATAAATGCTATAAAAATAGAGTTTGTACAAGTTTCCCCCAGAGCTGAAAGGGCGGTGCACCTCAAGAAGCTGGGGAAGTCAAGGAGGTTTGCACAGAGGATGTTCTATTTGAGCTGGGTCTTGAGAGAAGGAAGAGAGAAGGTGCTGAGGGTACAGAAAACAGCCAAGTGAAGACACAGGAGTCATGAAAGAGATGTTCAACAGATGGCAGGTGGTTTTGTTTTGCTAGAACACAGGTTTTATGGGAGAAAATGGCAAGAGATGGGATAGTAAAGTAGCTAAAGCTAATATTCTAAACTGAGAATTACAAGACCCATTTTATCTTGAAAATTTTAGTGAGCCCCACACATGACAGTAGTTGTACACTCCATTAATTGCAAAAATATATAATAACCCATAGGTTACTAGGGATTGAGTAACATTATTAAATGATTTGCAGTCTGTCACAATAGCAACTGTATATGTTTGCTTATATGAAAGATACGTTATTTATTCAGTTTCCAGGCACTACATGGTGAGTATATAGTTTCTCTATTCTAGCAATAGTAAGCCATCCCCTATATAGTGGGGAGCAAGTTTTTAACTAAAAAAAATATATATATAATCAATTTAGAGCAGCAATATGGAAGATGGGTTAGAAGAGTGACCAGTTAGAAAGTTGTCCTGACAAGAGACAACAAATACCATGAACAGAGACAGTGATGAAGGCAAAGGAAGGAGAGAACTTCAGGAGGTGCTTAGAAATAATAATTGAGAAGACTCTGTGACTGAGTAGATACAGAAGTGATGGATTAGAAAGACTCTAGATGACCCTGAGGTGTTTAGACAGTATTATTTATAACACTGATAATTTGCTGGTTTCTGTTTTAATTCTAGAATGAAAAGAAACTCTATTCGGTTGGGGACGAAGTTGAAATCGCATGCCTGACTGGATTCAAAACTGTTGGATACCAGTACTTCAGATGTTTACCCGACAGGACCTGGAGGCAAGGGGATGTGGAATGCCAACGTGAGGACTGGGCAAACGTTTTGTGTGACTACTCTGCAAAATCAATGTGCCTGATACATAAATACAGCAAAATCACACCCTTAGATCAGTACATTTTACTACTTTTTAGTAACTCTGGTAAAAAGATTTAGTGAGGCAGAAAATAGGGCTCATTTGCTAAAATTAGATTTCCAAGTATCTCTACATTTCGGTTCTCTTGCCCCTATATATTAACCTCATACACATAGGACTGCGAGGCATGCATTTCAGAAAAAATCCAGGAAGTCTGCAAGCTGTAACTAACTACAGACATCTGCCTTGCCTGATGTACAAATTGAAGCAAATTGTTGAGTCCCAGGAAGATGATATTTACACTCTTTATGTAGCAGAAATGGGATTTTGTGTGAGATGAAGTTTTCTCCAAGGCACTGCTGCTTGGAACGTGTTTACTTCCTTTGCTGAGAAAAAGTGAATAAGCTTGTCGTCTCTGCACATACCCATGCTAGAGCAAAGTAAAAAATGAGATTCAAACAAGACTCGAATGAGGACCCCAAAGACTTATTATGGGACATTATGAAGCAGCATTGACACCAGTGTCAATTACAATGTCCTGCCTCTGTGTCACTATGGTATATGGCAATATGGTAACTCGCATTTGGGAAAACCCACTAGGGAGGAGAGGAAAGAAAATATTTCTTGAAAGGAAAAGGTCCTAATGATGTAATGAAAGTTGGATGTATCTGGAGCCAGTTCCTTAGCCAGGGAACTTCAGATAATGGAACTAAAGAGAGTTTTTCAGTGGAGGAATCTGTGAGGGGAAGCCTGGGATCCTTAACCCCCAGGTTTTCTGATCAAAAGAAGACCCCAAAGCTGAATAACTGCAGTACATCTCATTAAAATAGCCTCTTGAGTTGCATAGAATCTGCCTACTTGTTGAGTATTCTGTTCCACAAAGCACATCTGCGATGTTGCTCTCCCTGCAGGCACAGAATGCCTCAAGCCAGTTGTGCCGGAAGTCTTGACGCTCAGACCGTATAAGAGATTATATAAAATTGGTGAATCCATTGAGCTAACCTGCCCCAAAGGCTTTGTTGTTGCTGGGCCATCAAGCTACACATGCAGGGGAAATTCCTGGACACCGCCCATTTCAAATTCACTCACTTGTGAAAAAGGTAAGTAGCAGCTCAGGCTTCTGGGGTCTGATGAGGTGGCGCACCCCAAGATTGGTAGTATAGCATCTACAGCTGTGCTATTTCCTCAGCACAGAGGCACAGAGAGGCTAAATTAGACACTAAGTTAGATAGTCTGGGTCAAACAGGGACTATGCAACAGCTCTGCTAATTCTCTAAGCTCTCTGCCATCCTGCCTTCTTTACTCTCTTCTTTTATAATGTATGCAGGAAAGAGGGACAGTTAACTTTTTGAATAATCTTAAATAAAACTATTACTAAAGAGATTTCATGGGAATTGATGAAAACTTCAGGTTAATATTATGTCTTGGTTTCACTAGACTCTTGACCATAACAATAAATTATAAATAATATAAATGTCAGAGGAATGAATTTATTTGGAAAGTATAGGCTTCAGAAAGTTAAGATCCTCTGGACACCTTGGGTAGTATCTCCTTTGTAAAATACACGTGTGTGCCCACACGCTCACACCCACGCATCACACACACAGCTCTGCCCTCAGATGAGAAATCGAAATTATAATCCAAACTGAAAGATATGAAATGTTTTACATCTAGATAAAGGAAATCAATATTCTATTTCATATACTTTCTCTCTGTTAATACTGACAGAAAGACCAGTGAGAGGAAGTCACAGCAAGAGAAATGCAATAATCAATAATACTGGACATTATGAGGTAAAGAGACTTTCAGGCTGTCACTTGGCCAAGAAAACGCTCTTAATTCTTTCAACGAGAAACAGTTTTGCTTCCTGAAGAAGTGAGACACTGCATGGCTCCACAGTTATTTTCTCCCTTCCTCTGAGAACTCCATGCCTTCAGCAGCCCTTCAGAGGATCTTCTCACCCTCAGCCCTTTAAACATTGTAGTGTTCTCACTGCCAAGGGGCTCCTGCGCTGGGCGGGGTGGGATGCTCAGCTTCAACCTGATGCTTATAGATGGGGCAGACTCCTTGCATGGGATCATTGACAGTTTTTAATCAGTAGTGACAGATGCTCTGTGCTACTTGAAAGCTGACTCTCCCTGGACACATTGTATAGCTTGCTGCTCCTCCCTGGCCTAAGCGTGGATTTATTTACAAAGGGCAAAAAGGCATAGCCAAAGAAAATGAATCCCATGTCAGTGTAAATCTTAGTAGCTGAAGCCTTCCCAGAGTTACAGGTCTCCAAGTTCATGAAGGGTCTGAGCCAAGTTTCACCAGATGGAATGAGGGTCCTAACAAAGGATAATAGCAGGAAATAGAAATAGCAGTGAAGGAAAAAAACCTATGAAATTTTTGAATCTTTATTTTTGCTTTTAACATACACTACCTTCCCTTATCAAACCTTTTACCTGATAGGCTAAGACGAAAAACCGTAAGCTGCGTCTCTGGTTCTGCCCTGTAATTGGTGGCACTGTCTAGACATAGCTGCTTATTTCCTCTCTTGACAATTCACTTGCTCACAGAGGCCGTTTGATTCTGTGGATGGCTGATTAGTCAGGTCCAGATCCAGGAAGTTCATTTCATCCAACAGTCTTAGGAAGTGGAAGTCGGCTCCAGGTCCAATTCAACCAGTCTAAAGGTTCTCTGGGTGGGCCTCAGCATAAACAAAGAAAAAACAAGGTTTCCCTTTCCATATGATATATTCCAAGTGTTATTTCCTCTATTTTCATCCCCTTCCCTCATATACATACTCTTTAATTCCTCATCTTTGTTCAAGCATCATTTCCTTACTGTTTGCATTTGGGGTCTTTATGGTATATGGTCTTCTGAAATCATGTTCCCTCTCTTCAAAATATCTGTCTGAGCCTTAAATTATAAATCCATTATGGTGATTATTTAATATCTGTTTTTGTAGTATCCTTTAGATTCAAGAAAAAAGGAACCACAGCTGTTTCCTTCCTTCCTCCCTCCCTCCCTCCCTTGCTACCTCACTTCGTCCTTCCTTCCTTTCTTTCCTTCTCTCCTTTCCTTTCTTCCCTCTCTCCCTCCTTCCCTTCTATCCTTCCTTTCTTTTTTTCACCATATTATCCTAGTGCCTAGAATATCATGCAGGAATAAATAGCCACATTTAGGAGTTGCATTTCTCCATTGAATCTTCTTGTAGGAAAATCTGACTTTCAAGTCATTATCCCCAAATAAACATTTGCACAACTCTCATTGTTAACATCCATGTTGTTAAATCTAACGGAAATTATTTTTGTCCTCATCATCTTTGACTTCACAGCAACCTTCAACAGTGTTGACCTTCTGCACAAATGCTCTTTCTTTGGCTTCCAAAACATATCGTCTTCCTGTTTAGATCTTACTTCTCGAGCTGTTGCCCTCTGTTTTTGGCAGACTCCTGCCCATGCTTGGACATTAAATATTGGAGTTCCTCAAGGCTCAGATTTGTCCCTTCACCTCAAACTGCACTCTCTTGCTAGGGAATCTTACCAACATCCTTAGCTTCAAAGATTCCCCCATAAACTAATGACAAATTCAAATCTTTGGCACAGACTTCTCTACTGAGCTTCAGACATAAATATCTAAATTCCTATATATCTGTTTTGTTTGGATACCTTAAAGATATCACAAATTCAACACACAGAGAGAAAAACTCTTGATTCATGATGCTTTCCTCCCTAAAACTAAATATTTTCTAATACTTTCTCTTTCACGTCAGGCACTAATGTCTATTTTTTTAAGCAAACCAGAAATCTAGGAGTCATACTTGATGGCTCTCATAACTTTCTTACAATATGTAATGTCACCTGTTTTACCTCCTATATGTGTCTCGAGTTTATGCACTTCTCTCCATTTCCACCTCCAGCACCCTGGTCCCAATGACCATCCTTTTTTTCCTCAACTACTATAGTAACCTCACAGACTGTCTACCCAGAGCCCTCTGGACCACCCTGCCTTTTGAAATCCATTTTCTGCACAGAAGCCAAAATTACTTCCTTTGTCAAAATCCAGAACTGATTTTGTCATACTCCCTCCTGCTTAAAGCTCATCGAAGGCTATCCACTGCTTATAAAATGAAGATGAAAATCCTTCAAAGCCCCTAGTGGCCCTGCACAGCCTACCACATACCTATTTCTCTGGCCACATCTTGCTGCCTGCTCTTGTTTTTCTGCATTTAACCCTCACTGGATTCTTTCAGTTCTAGGAAAGTCACAAGCTGCCTCCCTCTGAACACTTTCATATCTGATGTTCCCTCTGCTTTCAATAGTATCCCTTTTCTTTCTCCATTATACTATTTCTAATTTCCTAGCTACATCAATTTTTATTATATGCTTTCTCTTTAATAACTCTTATAATGGCAGAAATTCTATATGTATATTAGTGCGCTTGTTCGATTAATGTCCATCTGCTCCCACAGGATTATAAACTCTGGAGCATAGGATCTGGTTCATATTTTGTCAATCCACTATCCCCAGAATCTAACAGAGTGCTAGGAACATCATAAGTGCTCAATAAATATTTGAAAAATAAATCAACAAAAATTTCAATAATTCCATTTTCTTTAGTTGTCTAAACATATAGCAATTTTAGGTCAGAAAATGACAGCTTATGTGAGTTGTAAATGAGCTTTCAGATGAAATGTTGTTTTATGACAACATATTTAGAGAAACCAAAACGAATAACTCCAACTCCAGGAGATAAATGAACCCTCATGACTACCTCTTCTCCCGAATTCAAGCTTACCAATGGAATCCATGCTGTGCACTGTTCTATTCTTCCTTTTCTTTTGTTTCAGAAATTCTGACAAAATTAAAGGGCCATTGTCAGCCAGGACAAAAACAATTGGAATCTGAATGCGTTTGTCTATCTCCAGAAGAAGACTGCAGGTAAGAGATACTCTATAAACTGTGTTTGGAAATCTGGAAAACCAGTCTAGTGTAACCAGCTTGATGGAAGAGCTGAGCTTCTTGAAGCATAAACATGAAATATGAATTTTTCACATAACTGATACCCCTGTGCTTCTGTTGAATTTCTCCTTCCCCATTGGGTAGCAAGTTTCTTAATTATCCTTCAGCCCAGTTCTGTAAGTTTGCATGGCTTTTGTTTATTAAAACAGTCTTATTTTGGTTATAAAGACTTAACTCTTGCCCATTTAAAAACTTCAAACTCAATTAGATAAAAGCCTTACTTTCCCGTTCTAAGTATAGGAGAAGGTTATAACTAGAAACACGTGCGCGCGCCTACACACACACACACACACACACACACACACACACACACACACACACACATCTTTGCCAGTTGATTCTTTGATGCTGGGACAGAGAGCATGGAGAAGAAAACTTATATATCCTCATGTGACTGCCATGACTAGATGGCTATCTCCTCTTTGTTGATATAATTGCCTTTTCTTTATATGAACAAACCCAGAGTGTCAAGGTTGCTATTAATTTAAGGGCTAGTTTCAGTCTAATTTAAAAGCAAATCCAAAATAGCATTTGTTTAACATAAAATTTTGTTTCCCTATCTCACAAAATCAATGCAGAGATAGCCAATCTAGGGCTAATATGGTGATACTCTTATTTCGTATAGGACGGAGGCTTCATCCTGCTCTCTGTTCTGCCATCTTTAAAGTGATTTTATGGTCCAGGATTGCTCTGCTGGAGCAGGAAGGAAGGAAGATCAAAAATGGGGCCCATTCTCTGTTTTTAAGATACCCTGGAAGCGCCACCACTTGGGTCCATCTCACCAACCTTCTCTTATGTACACGAACACGTGTACCTGCAAGGGAGGTTGTGAAATGCAGTTCTCTGGCTGCATGCATAGCCATTCTAAATAAAATGAGATTAAATTACTGAAGAGATGAAATAATGAACATTGGGGTAGGAAGCCAAAAAAGTGTGCACAGTTGTTAATATTCACTTTCAACACTGATTAGCTCTCGTGTTCCTCTGTGCTGCAGATGAAAATGCTTGTGGAGACACATTTATCGTCTTTTTGGAGAACACTACAGGGTCATTTTCTGTATAATTCTACCGACACATGCAATCCAAAGGTAGCTCTATTTGCCCTCCTCAGTGTTCACCACAGTGGTCCACCAAGTAGCTACTTAGTAGCTACTTGCTGCTGGAGTCCCCATGCATAGAAGATGGCCTTCTGGACCCCACTTACAATATTCACATTGTCCACTTGACCCAAAGGAAACTGCTTTCTTTATCTGTGCAATAACAAGTCGTAAGAATACAGGCTGCCCCCTGAAACTCCTGCTTCATCCCTGCCATACCTCTCCAGCTTCCTTCTGTGGGCCTCACTTCTCTTTCATATGGGATCAAAGTATTTGTGGGAATGGCTGGCCCCACCGATTAAGTTCTATGAATAAAAGTGGCCTTTTGTTCTCAGCCATGGTCTCTAGTTCCTGGAAACAATCTGACATGCTGGGGCACTGGTTGTTAACTCTAAAGTTGACATCAGAGAAGTAACTCGAAATAATCAAGGGGATCTTGCCCTCTCTGCAAGAGAAGGGCAAGGCCATTTGTTACTTCTTGGTAGCACAACTGATTACTCTACTCAGAGAGATTGAAGAAGTTACCCAGAGAATGACTTAAAAACTCATGCTCGTAATCACAATACGAATACACTTGAAAAGTTATATAATAAGACTCTCTATGACATGTCCTTAATTGTGTTGTAATTAATAAGTGTTTTAGAGTTCAGAGGAGGTATAGGCCACCATGGGCTACATGGATCATGATAAGCATCAGAGTGTAGCCAGCAATTGAGGTGGACACGTTTGGGCAGAGAAGAGAGACAATATACTACAGATTAAGCAGAGTATGGATGGCAGCAAAGAAAAAATAATCTTATCAGTGTAGAAAATGATCAATACAATTGTCAGGTGATCAATACAATTGAGAAGGTTAGGAAAATAGGACTAGAAAAGGAAGTTGATTGGAGTCAATATACGGAAGCTCTTGATTATCAGAATTTAAGAATTCAGAGTTTAATTTGAAGGCAACTGGGAATAATACCAAGGTTAAGATGAAATTTTAGGAAGATCAATCACAGGCAGCATGCAAGATAAAATGAAACAACATTCTGAAAAGAGAAAAAAAGCAAGAGGAAGAAAACTGGGTGGTGGGTTAATGTATTACATTGGCTACATACTCATTTTTTTCTGGCCTTCATATGGAAATGCTTGCTTTCCTTTCTTGTGCAGCCATTATTCAGAAGACCTCTGTGTGTTTGATACAGACTCCAACCATTACTTTACTTCATCTGCTTGTAAGTTTCTGGCCGAGAAATGTTTAAATAATCAGAAACTCCATTTTCTACATACTGGTTCCTGCCAAGAAGGTCCACAGTTAGAATGGGGTCTTGAAAGGACAAAACTTTCATCCAATAGCACAAAGAAAGAATCCTGTGACTATGACACCTGCTACGACTGGGAAAAATGTTCAGGTGAGCTCCAGTGGTCACCGCATGGTGGAATTGCTCTCACTCAGTTGGCATATCTTATTTGCATTTCTATATCATCTTTCTTAAGAATAACTTTTCCTGAATCAAAAATGATTTCTTTTCATTGTAAAAATTGTATAAAATAATTTAAACAGAAAGGAAAAATATAACCACCCACAATTAGAAATAAGTACTTCAATAATTTGGGTATGTATATTTCTGATCTTTTCTCTGTGCATACATAATCAATGCCACCCTTAAGCTCCAGTGAGAAGAGCACCTCTTCTGATCCCATGTTTCAGGCACCCCTCCCCACTCCTAGCTTTAGAGGGCCTTCATTAGAATTATCTAAGTTTCCCTCTGGTGGTTGGGATTGGCTGGGGCTAGCAGTGCTATCCAGGTAGTACTGGGTTTCACGTGGATGCCAGTTGCCAGAGGTCTTCCTTAAATTTGTTTAAGATCCTCTCCCAGTGCCTGGGACCAACCGAGGCTGGCAGTGTTATTCAAGCAGGGTACCCAGAGCCCAGACAAGGTCCCATACGGACCCAGCACTGTTTCTCCCCTGGGAACACATTCTAACCCTCTACTGCTTCTCCTCCCCACCATGCATGGGGTTGACCAGATGACCCAAAGAGCTGTGGGGCTCATACCTGTGAAGTCATCTTGGGCCCAGAGCTATACCCTCATTTCCAGAGAGCAGCTTGGCAAGCAGATTGCTCCCACTGACCACCAGGGTATTCTTGTTCAACATTGGTTGAGATTAGACTGCCAATATGGTGTTGACACTCTAATTTGGGGTGACTCTAATTGCTTATAGACAGGCATCCCATAAGAAGTTTTGCCCCAGGGCCTCACATGCCTCAGGGGTGGCCCTGCATATAATATAAATTTTTAAAATATAAAATAGAATCATACTCTACGTGCTATTCTATATATTGCTGTTTTTCACTTACTGTGTTGTGAAACTATTTCCATGTCATCATATTTTACTTTGCCACACAATTTTCAATGTCTACAGAAGTCTGTATGGATATTCTGTGATTTATTTAACCAACTTCTGGTTAGGCATTCAAATTTTCCCCTATATTTTGCTATTATAAACAGTGCTGTGATAGATAAATCTGTAATCTAAGATTATTGTCTTAGAAGATTATATACCTTAGAATATTGAATTTCTAGGTAAATGCTATTTTAAAATATAAAGTTTTTATTGATACAATGTATCAACTACTTTCTGGAAATGTTTTTACCATATTTTTTTCTAATCGATAACATGCAATAAAGACCGCCCTCCCACATCCTCACCAAACCTTGGAGTTATCACTCCTTTATAACCATGCCAATTTAATACTTAAGACGTGGCATTACATTTCCATGTTCCACAAGCGTATTGATTTGGCATTACACTTGTAAATTGCATAGAATTGCATAGAAATTGCAGGAACTTCTCAGCAGGCCATATGCTTGAAGATGAACTTTGACCCTGAAATAGCCCAACTAAGCTTCATATATTACACAAAGATGAATTGGAGATTAGGATTTAACAGAAGTTAAATAGGAAGTTAGATTTCCCTTGTGACACATTTTCAAAAAAAATATCTTAAATTGGGGCATAAAGTATGCAATGGAAACTTGTTGAAGTATTACATCTAACTTTTACTAAAACTACTTCTACAAAAAGAAAACACAAAAACTGTGCTATTCCTTTTGGCTCCTCTTTCATTTTCTGGCCCAGTGTCCTTCAGCTAGGACCTGGAATGGGGAGAGATTTTATCACCCAAATCCAGGGCCTTCTTGATCCGCTTAAAGCTGATTATCAACATTCAGCTCTCTTGACAGGCTGCAAGATTGAAAGAGCTGAAAGTATTATGCAGCATCATTTCTTATTTAAACATAAATCTTTTCTCTGAGAAGTGTAGTGTAAGAATATTATCATCAAAAATACATGGAGAAAAGAAGAGAAATTTGGACAGCAGGGAGGATAAAAAATGGTCCCTGACTACACTACAATAAATAGGTAGGTCAGGTATTTGGGGCTGTTTAGTGTTAGCCTCAACTCTTTGACATTTATCATGAAGGAAAGGTCTCCATGGCACTCTTCTGTTGCAAAGAATTTCTTTTCTGCTATTTTCCCACAAATTAGTCTTTTCAAATATGCCTGAGTGAAAAATAATCAGCAGCTTACAATTTCATCAAAATATCTATATTTATTACCCCTTTGCTGTACATATTTCTAAATCCCTACAGATTCTAGAAGTCTAAGTTCTTCTAAAAAGGAATAAGAAAAAGTTTGAATATCTAACTGATATTTCTCAAGTTAGCAGAATGCTTTGGGGTCATCAAACTAATATGTGAATATTTATAAGAGATTTGTTTAAGCAATTGAAAATATCTGTTGATCGTGCACACAATCAGAAAACTCAAAGCATTTTTTTCATAAAGATAAGGTCTGCCTCTGCCAGCCTTCTTTAATTGATGAGCAAAAATCAGTGTCACAGAGAAGTCTATAAAACTGCATCAATGTACGAACCATAGCATTCATGAAGAAAGAGACAGCTAGAAATATATTTCTTACCCAACCCATTCATGGCAAGTTGGGATATTAGTAATTTTGAGTTGAATTGTGTGTCACCTTGATTAAATTTTATTCTTGATTACATTGTTCTCTTTATTACTCCTCTTTTCTTTCTTTATCTAAAATAAAATAAGAAAAAGTTTAAAATGAAACTTCAAAGTAACATGAAATTCACTTTTCAAAAGTTAAAACACGAATAGCTTCCCTAGGGAGTCTATTTTTATGGATATTAAGTGTTTTGCCCGAATTTAAAAAAATATTCACCACCAGCCAACAGGAAGGGGAAATTTATTCAGCAAACATCCATTTAGCATCCAACATGTGGAAGTCACTATACAAGGCATGGTGATGGGATAGAGGTTGTATAGCCCTCAAATTGTTCACAGTAGTTGGAGGAGTAGCATTACACAGTAATTGCATGAATCGCTTCACCGCAAGGCAGGATGTGATGAGAGCTGTAATAGAGATAAATACCTTCTGGAAGGGTTTCATATGCATGGAAGTGTGAGAACTGAGTGGTGAAGCATGAATTAGTAGAGGTAGTGGGAAGGGGCTTTTGGTGCTGGTACTCTGAAAATAATCGGGCTAAGAGCATTTAAGCCATAACCATATTGAAAAAATGGTGACTGTGGCCCTTGCAAAAGCCTAGGGAACTGGTTTCCTCAGCAGAGGTGAACAGTCTCCTGTCCTTCACCAAACCCTACCCCTTCCAACAATGGACAAGAACTAGAATCTTCTCTAGCTGGTTGACAGAGAGCATAGAAAGGAAATGCATGCTTTTTCATGAAATGTTTCCTGATTCAAGCTTGGGAGGTTATGTATGCCCCAAAATATATCCATTTCTTCTAGATTTTCTAGTTTTTGTGTGTAGAAGTTTTTGTAGTATTCACACATGATATTTTGTATTTCTGTGATATCAGTTATAATCAATTTTTCATTTTTAATTGAGCTTATTTGAGTCCTTTCTCTTCTATTTCTGGTTAATCTAGCTAGAGGTCTATTGATTTTGTTTGTCTTTTCAAAGAACCAACTTTTTGTTTTGTTGATTCTTTCTAATTCTTTTTTGTTTTTTTGGGTTTCCATTTCATTAAGTTCTGCTCTGAGCTTTGTTATTATTTCCTTCTGTTGGCTTTGGGTTTGGTTTGCTCTTCCCATTCTAGTTCCTTGAGATGTGACATTAGGTTGATAATTTGTGATCTTTCTATCATTTTGATGTAAGCATTTAAGGCTGTGAACTTTCCCCTTAGCACTGCTTTTTCTGTATCACATAGATTTTGAAAGCTTGTGTCCCCTTTGTCATTCAGTTTTCATCCATTCAGCCAAATGGGGTATAAAGTCATGTCAAAGAGCTCAGACCTGTGAGTTATGTATTATTTAAAACTTGCCTATACCATGTACTGATTGTGTGACCATAAGTAAATTGCTTAACTTCTCTGAGCTCAGTTTTCTCTTCTATAGAATTAATACAGTAATATAGTTTTTATGTTTGTTGTGAGGATTTAATGAAATAAAGCATACAAAGTGCTTGGTTTACTGCGTGGTTTCATGGTACATGCTCAATAAATGATAACTATAAATGTACTTAGGCAATACCAATGATAAAAAAACAGGAAGGACAGACTGAAGACATTGTAGAAATGGATTGATAGGAGAAGTGATTGATTAGATGTGGGCACTGAGTGAGGGGGAGGTGCCAGAGATAGCTCAAACACTGATTGGATGTGGGGTAAGTGAGAGAGATGGATTCCAGAGATAGCTCAAATCCTGATTGGTTGTGGGCAGTGAGACAGGGGAAGGTGTCAGAGATAGCCCAACTCCTGAACCTTACTGGCTTACTGGTGTTCTCTTACATCCAAGCTTCTCCATTTAACCCCAGTGGAGTCTCTTGGGTCATTGCCTCCATTTCAGCTCACCACCCTGAAGATGAGTTAGGTAAAACCAAACTCTAAAGTACTGTGGTAATTCATACTGTCTTTCTCTCATTGCAGTCTCCACTTCCAAATGTATCTGCCTGTTGCCCTTCCAGTGCTTCAAGGGTGGAAACCAACTCTACTGTGTCAAAATGGGATCATCGATGACTGAGAAAACAGTGAACATCTGTGAAGTGGGAGCTGTAAGATGTGCAAACAGGAAGGTGGAAATACTGCATCCTGGGAAGTGTTTGGCCTAGCACAATCTCTGATAAACAGATTCACTATCCAAAATTATTTCCTATAAAAGGGCACTCTTATACAAACAGCAGACCAGTATGCCCAGAAGTTACTGACAGAAATTCATTTGTGTTAGTCTCAGATCATTATTCTCCCCTGACTTTCCTGTTTTAGTGCTCCCTATCCAGTTCCAGCTCACGACGCTCTGTATCACACCCCCAGGTAATAACTTCCACATCAGTCTATTAAATCATTCTGTTCACATTGCACAAAAATAATGAAACTTCTAAGGCCCTTATGATGCCTGTGATATTAGGTATTCTCACAATTAGAAACAAGAACAAAAACCATAATTTTCTTCAATGAATCAATAAAGAGAAATCTACAGAACCTGTAAAAACACATTTTTTTAAACCCAACCTTCTTGTATTCATTCAACAAATAATTTCGGAGTATCTGCAGCATGTTAAGTACTATTCAAGATCCTGAGAAATCAGCAGTGACTAAAACAGACACAGGCTCTTGCCTTCATGAAGTGCGCATTCATGTGGGAATAGATAATACAAAAAGTAAAATGAGCATGTAAAATATGTAGTATGTTTGATGATGACAATTGCTATGGAGAAAAGTAAGAAGGGAAGGGTGGGGCCCAGCCTTAATCCTCATTTTATGCAAGGAAATATTCCATAGCAATAAACATCACTGCAGGATGGTTTGACTCAAGTAGTTCAGAATAAACTCATGGAGTTCATTCTCTGAGGAAGAATAGGGATTCTCTTTGCCTCAGTTCAAGTGCATCACATAGCTTTTAAGCTGAAGGGTGGGATGAATGGAAAATTGTCAGAGAATTTTTAAGGAACTATTTTTAAAGTAAGTCATCTTTTATTAGGCCACATGAAGTAGACATCCATTTCTTAGAGAGGCTAGGGTGTCATTTTGAATTGGAGAAGACAGGCATCTTTGGAATAGCAGTTCCGAAATATCAGGATACATCAGAATCACCTAGAGGGTGTGTTAATACACATGCCAGGGGCCCACCCCCAGTTATTGATTCAATAGGTCTGGGGCGGGACCTGAAAATTTGTCCTCCTAGAAGTGATCATCCTCTAGTTTAGACATCCCCTGGTTTAGACATCCCCTAGTTTAGACATCCCCTAGTTTAGACATCCCCTAGTTTAGACGTGGAGTCATCAGTTAATCCTGACATAGCAATGAATCTCAAAACCAGAGCCAGCCAACCTCCAAGCAGATGAGTGAATCAGACTCCCTTCCACCAAAACTCACTGGATTCTCACCTAGTGGAAGGAGAATATTAGCCACAGCCAGCCAGGAGCACTCTTGCCAGACTTTGTACAATAAATGCACCTCCTCTTCCATCTCATTATTCACAGGATGTTGGCAGAATCTAAAATATCTTGTGATATCAAAGGAGAAGAATGGGGAAGTAAAAAAATCCTAGAAACAGAAATATTTTCCTTGTGTAACAGAAGCTGAGCAGGTCCTTTCCTTTTCCTCAGAGTCAGAGACCCATCTTTTCCCCAATCACACCACACATTCCCTTCTCACCGTGAGAGTGGTGCAGGCCACTCTTGTGAGCATGCCACCTTCAGCACGCCCAAGACACCAAACTAAAG